CTAACCATTTTGAATACACAGATACAAAATGGTCATTCATCTGTATCCCTTTTTTTGTTTAGTTCCGTCATTTAAATATTATAGGTGAACTCAGCAAAATATTCCAAAATAATCCAGTAGTCCATAATAGTATTGGGTCTTCTGCTTGACTAGCAATGTCAGAAGTTGTTAACCTGAGTCCTCTACAGCTCAACATAACAACATGGCTTTATTTCTTATACTTTGTTTTTCTACTTTTCTGCTGGATGGTTAAGATCAAGATAAAGCAAGACCTATGCAACAAGAATTGTAGCTTTTGGGTCCGGGGAGATGGCTCAGTGGAATAAGCGCTTCCCTGGCAAGCGCAAGGGCCTGAGTTCAATCCCCGGTTCCGAAAAAAAAAAAAGAATTGTAGCTTTTGTATCTGATAAAGTCAGTCAAATCCCCTCAGGATTTATCCTGAGATCCTGTACCTCAGATTGTAGATCTTTTGTCAGTGTCAGCCATGTGGATGAGTCACAGCCATTACTTGGCCAATTTGCTCTCTGTGAAAGCCTGAGAGAATGTTTTCTTTCCATGTGACTCTCCTTAGGCACACTCTACATTGTTGATCACATTGCTCTGTGGCCCCATAATCTCCTTGATCAGAAAATTTGGGGCACAACTGATGTTACAGCAAAAGTTCTCATATGTCCTAAGTCTTAACTGACCTTGGTAGGCTAGGGCCAAAATGTCGTATTTTGTGTAATTGTAAAGGAACATAAGAATGTGTATTATATAAAAATAACTTGTAATAGAAATTCAAGTACACTTGTTACTAATGTAAGTCTCCTAATTTTATTTTATTTATTTATTTTGGTGGTACCAGGGATCAAACTCAAGACCTTGTGCTTGCCACGCAAGCACTTATTCCACTCAGCTATTTCTCCAGCACCTAAGTCTTCCAATTTTAAGCCTCTAAAGTATTGTAGCTTTTATATTTATTTCCAGATGTTAGAGCTAATCATTTAAAAATCTGATTAGTACTGAAGCTAAGTGAGTAATTCAAATTACTTCTTAAAGCACCTGGGGAAATAGCTCAGTAGAGTAAGTGCTTGCCTGGCAAGCACAGGGCTCTGAGTTCATCCCTGGTACTGGAAAAAAAAATACTTCTTAACCATAATCCATTAGAATTGTATGCTAACTTAGGATATAACTTAGAAAAACACGTTGTCACTGTGTGCTTGCTCGTGGCTCAAGTCCTGGGAGACAAGCTCTGAGGCGTCGGATCGTGTCCAATGTTGCTTGCATTTGGCTTTGATTCTGCAGGTCCCAGCGCATCTGGAAAGTCCCCCGAGGCCTCAGCTTCCCAAGGCCCAGAGACGGCGAGTCACCTCCTGCATGACCCTTGACCACCAAGCCGTCAGCCAGGCTCTCGAGCAGCCCCGCCCCACCACGGCAGGCTGTGGCCTTCCGGTCCAGAATGGATGCACGAGCCCCAGCACTAGCCCTGGCCTCCTGGGAGGTCCTCTCGCCAGCTTGCTAGCTCTCGGGAACGATGGCCGAGCGGAGTGGCATGTATGTCTAATGTCATTTTGAACACTGTCATCAGCTTTTGAGAAAACATTGTTAAAGAGATTGAAATCAATACAGTAAACATTCCAAATGCAAACTAATTTAGCTCAAGAAGTGTGTTTTTAAAACATTAATCTGTGATCATTAATTATAGACAATTGTTATTATGCATAATAAATTGCAACGATTCATTTTTACTCATTTCAGTTAAGTACCAATAACGATCCAAAATAATCTCTTACAGTAATATGTTTAGAAGGTTTAACTCATTGCAAAATTTTCTAAGTAATTTCAGTTAAAATATTTATTAATAGTTACTTTATCTTAAATATCCACTAAAAGAAAGAAGGCAGAAATGATCTGAATGATAGTAAACTTGTCCTTTAAAATTGTTTATTAGAATAAGACTAAGGACCTTGTTATCTTAATATTTTACTAGATTTTTATATGTAATTTTTACTTTTGATTTTCAATATGTTAGTTTCCATTCTCAACAAATTTTTGCCTATTATTTACTAAGTAATAAAATGTAATAGTGCTAAAGATATAGAATAAATAAGAATGTCTAGCTTTGTAGAACGTGTTTATAGCAATTTGCTATAAATTTTCAAGAAGTGCTGAGAAATAAATAGAAGTGAGAACTTTGAGAAAGAGTTTAGGTATCTCAAATAGAAAAACTACACCAGAAGGAACTTTCTTTTTCATTCTTTTTAATACTATTTTTATTATAATTGCTATTACTCTCATTGCTGGTCATTAGAGAAGTTGGGACAATGTTTTCATGTACTGCATTCTGCCTCATTTTTCTATTTGCATTTGCATAACTATCTGTATGTGACAACCAACATATTTTAAAGTAAAACCAGTCATTTCTCTACATGTTAAGCTTGCATGCTTTGGTGTGAGGTATCTTCTTAGCCCCGCCCTACTTATGTAGATAATGATTCCCGAGGGAGTGGTTCAGGGTATTTTGGGCAAGGTGTCACTTGTAAATTGATGAATACAAATATAAGGAAAAACAATAAGCTTGTATGTCAGATAAAACATAATTTCATTTCTGAAATGTTCTAGGCATATCTATATATCTGTATATATCTTCCATTGAAACAGTCCAAAAACTTTTAGAGCTTCTTAGAATTCTCTGTGGTCTCAGACAGCGCTTCTCACTGTATCCTTATGCACAATGTTCTTAATGTATCATATTTTGCTAGATGGAGGATGTTATTGCGGATGTGATCAGTGTGGAATCAAATTTTAAAGAGAAAGGAACAGACCCTCCTGTGCTGATGGAAAGAACAGTAAGTGTCTTTAGACCCAAGGAAGTCAATGAGCTGGAAATACATGGTGACGCTGCTGATTAAAAAGATAAATTCCATTTGATCAGCAAATGGTGCTTTATTCTGTAATTTTTTTTTTTTTTT